AGTCTCGACATTTAATCTATTGATTCGTGTTCACCAACACCATTTCCCCTTTTTTACCGTGTCACACAGAACGATTTAAAAAGCAATGTATTTCTATTGGTAGTATGTTCCGTGCCTGCAGCATTTCTTTTTGTCCGGTCGGGTCTTGGAAGACCGGAAGCTGTGGGGTTCATAAAAACAAGTTCTTACTCAATATCAAGCCACGACTATTGTTTTTATTTTAAATTGTATAATGTCGGACTTTTTTTGTCGACTGTGAGGAAAATAAATGTGGCTGAGCCTCAGAATACTGACATCTGTATTTTTAAATATTTTTTTCCTTCTAATTTGTTATTCTTTTTTAAATAACACACTGTTATTTACTCACCAATAACACGCAATTATCCTTGTTTTTATTTATTGGTTTAATTAGATTATTTATTTTATTTTTTATTTAACCTTTATTTAACCAGATAAAAAGCATTGAGATAGAATCTCATTTTCAATGCTGACCTGGCCAAGAAGGCAGCAACGTTACACACAACACATAAAATACAGAGAACACAACTAAGAAGACAAAAGAGGAAAAAGCAGTCACTACATTGAGCACATTAGGACAGTAAGAAAGGTGCACTACTTATTACTGCAAGAGCAGCGGGAGGTAAGGACTTCAGACAACTTCAATTTAAAACATGCTATTGAGAAGTGCCCTCAGTTTGAGACGTGATTGAAGGCCATTCCAAGACCAAGGAGCATAAATCATCCTTATTATGATCAGCCCGAGATCATAATCTCTGGCTTTTTTGGCGTCCGTCAGGAACTGAATTTCAAAATAAAAATAACCGGAAACAGACGTAGCATCATTGCGATACACAGCCACTGAACTGATTACCCAAGATCCTCAGCTATGGTTTAAGCTCGCTGATTGGATGTTTTAGCCGCAATGCATATAGGGTGTTCATGCCATATCAAATCCGAAAAACTTTTTTAAAAAAATAAAATAATACTTTATTCCGAGTGTTCTTGCTTCTTTGAAAGTCATCACATAACGGCATTGTAATACACGGTTCGGCTGCATTACATATTTATTTATAGAGCCCTGATGAGAAGACCTTTGGACAAACTGGAAGAAATGCCGCCGAAACTGAATATGTGACGTGGATCATCATAAATATATCAACAATTAAACAACATCTTACATTTCTCTTCACACAATACGTCTCCTTGTCTCAACACTAATTCGGCTGACTTTTACATTTGATCTAATTCATAGATAGGTTATATTTACACCATAACGGTGCACAGCTGATATAAAAGTAGTTTTTAAAGATATTACTGATTTTCTTTGAATATAAGAATGTAAATACTGAGTCTGAAATAGTATAGCAATATGC